GTTTACCTTTGTCTTCTCGGACTAAAACAACATTTACCGTTACTTCAAAAACAGCAAGGTAAATGAGAAGTCTTTCCTCAGCCTTTGGTTTTGCCAGCAATGGTGGATTTGATAAGTACGTTTTCGAATTTCTAAGTGCCTGCTGACATTCTTCATTCCATTCAAAATGATCCTGCTTTTTAAGAGCTGAAAAGAATTTAAAGCACTTTTCTGATGATTTGAAAATGAATCTTCCCAAGGCTGCAATTCTTCCTGTTAATCTCTGAACTTCTTTTTTACTTAAAAGCATATCAGGGATTTCTTCAATGGCCTTAATATGTGCGGGATTTACTTCAATACCACGGTTAGAAACAAGAAACCCTAAAAACATACCTGACGCAACACCAAATGCACATTTCTCAGGATTTAACTTCATATTAAATTTGCGCAGAATTTGAAAAGTATCAGACAGGTGTGATATGTGATCTCTCGAATGCTGAGTTTTAACGAGCATATCATCTATATAAACCTCCATGGTTTTTCCTAAATGTTCTTGAAACATTTTAGTAACCAGCCTCTGATATGTTGCACCAGCGTTTTTGAGACCAAAAGGCATTACTTTATAATAGTAAGTCCCTCTGTCTATTATAAATGAAGTTTTTCTTCATCTCTCGAATCCATTTTGATCTGATTTTAACCTGAATATGCATCTAAAAAGCTTAATAGTTCATGCCCTGCAGTTGCATCAATCAACTGATCTATATGTGGTAGGGGAAATGAATCTTTAGGGCAAGCTTTATTAAGGTCTGTGTAATCTACACAAACTCGCCACTTACCATTCTTCTTTGGAACTACGACAGTATTGGCTAACCAATTAGGATACTTTACCTCGCGGATGGATCCAATCTTCAGCAATTTTCGAACCTCTTCTTGAATCATCTGATTCTTGAAAGTTCCTTGTTTTCTTTTCTTTTGCTTGACAGGAGGGTATGATGGGTCTTCATTTAATTTGTAAGTTATCACCTCCGGTGGTATCGCTGTCATGTCAGAGTGGGACCAAACAAAACAGTCTACATTAATTTTTAAAAATTTAATTAATTTACCTCTCATGCTTTGGCTAAGATTGGCCCCTACGTAGACTTTCTTATCAGGCCATTGAGCGAATAACACAATAGGCTCCAATTCCTCAATTGTTGTTTTGATATTTTCGTTTACTTCTGGTTCTTGAATGGTGTCAGGCCTTGAATCCACATCTGTTCGTCCCTGTTCAGTTGAGGTTTGTGTGGTGGTGCCCTCAACTGTCTTCTGTGATTGCTATTTTCCTTCATTTCTCGTACTTGAATCTGCTACAGAATTGATGCTCCTGGATGTATGTTGATCTCCACGAATTTGACATACTCCCCAGGGTGATGGAAATTTAATGACTTGATGCAAGGTTGAAGGAACAACATCTATTTCATGGATCCATGGTCTCCCAAGGATCATATTGTAAGCCATCTCCATATCTACTACTTGAAACTTTGTATCTTTAACGACTCCTTATGTGAATGTGGTAAGTGTTACCTCTCCTTTTGTCACAATACTAGAATTGTCAAATCCAGATAGAGTATGCGCCTTTGGTATTATTCTATCTTCTGCTTGCATGTCACGTAATACTCTTAGCAAAATAATGTTCACAGAACTACCTGGATCAATCAAAACTCATTTTACATTAGTATCATGTACAATTAGAGATATTACCAGTGCATCGTTATGAGGGGTTAATACGCCATTTGCATCTGCATCATCAAATGTAATGCTTTCTTCCTCTATGACATGCGGCACCCGTTTCCCTTGGGTGATTGTAACTTTGGAAATTTTGTTAGCTGCAGTGTATGATATGCCATTGTTGTCTTTACCTCCGCTTATAACGTTGACGGTTCTTTTGGGAGAAAGTGGCTTCGGGGGCTCCTGCATGTTCTTCATTTAAGCTTGCTTACCTTTCTCACTGAACAACTTAGTGAGATATCCTTGTTTTAATAAATGATCAACTTCACTTTGTAAAAACCTACAATCTGCCATTTTATGCCCATGGTCATTATGAAACTCGCACCAATGATCAGGGTTGCGCCTGTTTGGATTCGATCTCATCTCTTTTGGCCATCGTGCCTTATCTTCCATGCTTCTCAAAACTGCAACGAGCTCGGAAGTGCTTACGTTGAAACTATAACCGCCAAATCTCGCCTTCAAATTTCTATCATCATCTCGTGACTCATAGGTATTTCGATCGTTTCTAAATCTTGATGAAGAACCTGACTCTCTATTCCTTGATCTANTGTGATCGTACCTTCGATAGTCTTGCTTGATCGTGAGTCTTTTCTCGTAGGTCCCATGTATGGCTCGTACCTATTTTTACCGGATCTTTTTTCGGTCTCCGCACGTCTCGAACTTACCTTTTCTTCTTTTTGAAGTCGTGGAACAGTATCTTCTTCGATCCTCAGCTTCGTGTTATACCTGTTGTAAACGTCATTCAACGTTGTAGCTGGGAATTCACGAAGGCTTTCTTTGAGTCACCTCGTAGCTTCTGAGCTTTTTTCATTCAAATTGCTTGTGAAAGCTATAGCTGCACAATTATCTGGTACACGTGGTAATGTCATTCTTTCACGTTGGTATCTGTCCACGAACTCTCGAAGCAATTCTGAGTCCCCTTGCTTGATCTTGAAAATATCTTCCATTCTTTTTTCGACTTTTTGAGCTCCCGAGTGTGCTTTGATGAAAGAATCTGCAAGCTCAGAAAAAGAATTTATAGAATTTTCGGGTAAAAGAGAATACCATGTTAATGCTCCCTTGGTGAGTGTTTCATCGAATTTTTTGACTAATACTAATTCAATCTCCTGCTTAGTCAAATCGTTGCCTTTTACGGCTGTTGTGAATGCAGTCACGTGGTCTCGTGGGTCTGTTGTTCCATCATATTTTGGAATATCAGGCAGTTTGAATTTCTTTGGAATTGGGAGGGGAGCAGCACTTGGCTTCCAGGGTTGCTGTGAATATTTATCCATATCTACCCCTTTGATTATGGGCGACACCCGGGTATTTGCTTTATGCGGTCACTTTGCTCCTTGAGCTATTTCTGCAATGTTAGTACTAAATTTTGTAAATCAGAATTGATTAAATTACCTGGTTCTCCCTCCTGTGGTTCACTGGGAGTTCCACTACTACCTGAGTTAACAAGCCCGGAACGAAGGTTCTCCAAAGTGTTGTTATTTGGAGTGGGTGTGGGTGTTGCAGCAGGTAACTGGTTAACAAATGCCTCAAGAGCTTTATTGACCTGTGCAACAATTAGTTTTTGTAAAGCTTCATCGATAGCCTTAACATTTTCAAATTGAGCGTGTCCATTCGTATGAGACCCCTTAGGAGTGCCCTCACGAGACCGCCAAGGAGAATCTCGTGGAGAAGAGACCAGAGTGTTAGTATTCTGTAGATCACCCTGATGCTGTTGGTTTTCTCGGTTTCCTTGAATGTCGTCATTGTTTTTCGACATGGTTGATACAACAAGAGAAATTAAGCTAAAAGAGAATAGATTATCAGATTTCGGTAACAGAGCCAATTTGTTTAACCAAAAAAATGGGATTTCGGTCAAAGCTTTAATTTAGAAGAATTCGGGTTACTGATAATCAAAAGAATTTATGAAAGAAAGTAATTTGGCTAGCAATAATGTAATCAGAAGAAAAACAAGTAAATCAATATATTCATATAGTATTTCGTGTCCTTACAATTGATCAGTTATCTCCGTTTTATAGCTATTTGGGAGATATGTGTTTTGCCCTTGTCATAATAAGGCTATTATGAGTAATTAAAGACATTGAATGCTACGTTACACAATCATTGTAATTAATACAGATTTTCTAACGTATTCAGTATTTAAAGCTCACTAAATACTGTATCTGTACTCTCATATATTGTCAGATTCATTCCCCTTGATTCCTGAACCTAAATGACTTAAATAGATACGGGTGTCGAGTCCTTTGAATATTTGTCTGTGCCTCTTCCTTTGCCTTTGCTCGTATCTGTTGCAACTCGTTTCTCTTTGCCAGCTATAACTCTTTGACTAGTCTATGTGTCTTGACACGTCATTTTTATTTCACTTTAATATGTAAACTCAATTTTTCCCAATACAATTGTGACGTCGAAGAATAGTGCGAAAGTTCAATTTTCAATCTCATTAATATAATGAACGCAACACATAAGCAAAGTATTTCTACTTTAAAATATTAAAGGAGTACAAAATTATGATAATGACTCATAAAAATGGACATGAAATTAAAGTACAGAGGAAACCTCAGTTGTCATGCTACGAACGGAGAAAATTGAGTATAACTGCATGCAAGCTGTGACCTTAATGTGAAATGCAAGAATTTCAATGCTCGTAGTTTCTGCAAAAGTAAGAAGCCTCTGCATCTGCATGGAATCTTTGGTTGTGGATTCACCCAATCTAGTCCTCATAGTCCAAGAAGAAAAGAAAAAAGAACCAAACTTAGCAGTTAAAACGAGCCTAAGATAGTCAAAAAGTTTACAGCTTTCCCAAGGAATCCGTGTCAGATAAGTTTAGACTTTCGAGTTTTGTAGAAAAAGAGTTTCTGTCCTGCAGTCCAATTAAAGAATTATGAGACCTCTGTTTACACTTCCTCTGGATTGAATATTGAGTGAGACTATGGTTAAAGAAGAATTCAGAAGCTAGAGTTAGTGAATTCAAAATAATGATAGTAGTATGATCTTATTATATTTATAGATAATTTTAGTCAAATAATGGATTCAGCCGAACTTAGCAATGAATTTATCGAATTACGACTATAGACACCAATTATCGGAAATAGTCTCTTTGCCCTCTAAAGATAGAGTTAAAGCTATGTACATCTTACCTTTGTCAGATCCCACTAGTGAAAAACTAGTGGGTTTGTTGTTGTTGTTGATGACTATAGACACCAATTAAGTCGAGTATATTCAAGCTACTAACTACACAATACTAAGTAGCGAGTTAGAGAGACAGAAGAAATATTTAATGCTGCATTGGATTCATGGTTTATTGATTGAGAACAGAAGACAGCTCAATAGATCCATAATCAAGCAACTCCTCAATCATCTGCTCTATATCCTGATCCTCCAGTGGCTTGAATTGGTGTGCACTCTCCCTCTGAATTTGGCTATATCCCTCATTCACTGGCATGTCAAAGCGCATTTTGCCATCTCCCCTGTTCCTAATTTGTGGGGATATCTGATTCTCTTTAGTTTCCAACTTTGTCCTTCCAGATTTTTTTGGCATGCCAAGAGATGTCATGTGACATCTTTGAAGTTTAGCTATCAAAGCAGAAGATAGGAACCTTGATGATTGAGACTGGCTGGCATTGTAAGGGAAATTAGTGCGTGCTATTGGACCGCACATAAGTCTTGCAGCTTCATCATATGCCTGTGCAGCATCCTCTGCTGTCTCAAATGTTCCTAGCCATATCCTTGTCTTCCTGTTTTATACAAATACCAAACAAGTACAATTCAGCCACAAAAAAAAAAGGTAACAATGAAATAGAACTTGATCAGAGAAACTGTAACAAAGAAGAATTACAATGAAGGATGACGAATTTCGGAAACCCAAGATCCCCAATGCCGCTGACGGACTCCTCGGTATCGTTGTTGTGTTCGAGCCATGGCGAAATTAATTGGCGATAATAGTGGTAGTAATAAGCTAAGTCTTTATAGGAGATGCAGGGGAAGGAATTGAAGGCTTTCAGAGGCTTTTGTAATGGCCTTCAGCTGGCAATTCAATATGGGGTTGGGTCCACAGAGACTTTCTATACCTTTCCTTCCTTCTTTTCTACTAGTAATAAAAAACAAAACAAAAATCTATTTTTCAAAAGAAAATTAAAAGATTAAAAGGATGAAAGGAAAGGAGTATTTGTCATTACGAGCCTAAGGTCTTTAGATATTACAGCACATGTCTTGAGGTCAGTGCATGATTGCATATATAGTATGAATTGCCTACAGTTTTATACAAGTAGAATCAGAATTTGACGCGAATCAATTGTTGATTTTTTACTAGGTCATTGTTATATTGGTAGAAAATGTGAGACAATTGATTTAAATAAACTAACCCGACTGCTCTCATCAATAATAATAATAATGATATTTTCAAGGAATAGGTTATATGTACCTCCAATTAAGATTAACGCTAGGTTACTAATAGGAGCGGAACTACATGGGATGGCTTTGCTATATCATGCATTTCACAAGAATAGAAGGGGAAAATATGCGTCATGTTTGATTGAGGACAAGATTACATAAGAAAATCTGACCTTATCCCTCCGTTATAAGGACATGAGTTTCATGTACTGGACTATAATACTAGATAGTAGTAATTAATATGATATCATGATATATTTAAGAGCTCGTTTGGACATAAGAATTTTTTCATTTTTTTTTAAATTTTCACTTTTCTTTTTCTTTAAATCAGTGTTTGGTCATAAAATTTTCAACTTTCATTTGAAAATGAATTTTGAAATTTTTCGAAAATTTGAAAAACTCCAAAAAGTTATTTTTCAAAATTTTCACTCAGATTATTCATAAAACTTCAAAGATAACCCAAAATTATATTCATGTTCATACACAACTCTAATTTTCAAATACCATTTTCACTTGATTTTTTTTTTAATTTTTTTTTTTTTTTGGAATTTTACAACTCTTATGTCCAAACGCCCACTAATTATTGTGCGCTCTGTGTATCTCTCTCCCTCTCTGTCCTATGCTGGTTTAATGTAGCTGAAATATTTGACTTTTATCTCTCGATAGTCATACCGATTACACGATCCAAGAGTAAAACAAGGAGTTGACATGCACGTTTCTGAATTCTGTTTCCTCCAAGCTCTTCAGGGTTAGGTCATTTCCTATTTACATGATGCAACGCAGATTGCCAATTGTTGTCTTTTCAATCTCGGGTGAGAGAAAAGAGTCAGCTAAACCGTACGTATTATATGACATTTGTATTTGTTAAAGGTAACAACAAATTTGGAGTACAAAACTAATCTAGCCAAAAAATAGTATAATGAATGTGGTAGTATTTTATTTTAGATACAGTAAGCGTAATAATCTCTAGAGTGTCTTTATTTAAATTTGATGAAAATGTTTTGTGATTATTCCCTTAAACTGTTGGCTCAAGCCCTTAATAACTTGATTTGAAGTCTCATGAATCTGAAATTCTGAATTCAAGTGTTTGAAACTTGGGGTGTGTTTGGTATAATGGAAAATATTTTCCGTGGAAAATGTTTTTTTGGAAAACAAGCAGTAATCTTATTCATTTTTTGGTGTTTGGTACGCAAATTAAGGAAAATAATTTCTGTAAGATAGTTTGTTATTGGCAAGTTGGAAGTGGGATTCTTCCCACATCGGAAGAAAGAAGTTCCGTGCCTGTCATGTGAAACACCCCCGGGACCGACCTTACTCGTACCGTGCCTGTTAGCCTCGGAACTGATCATTATGAAATAGCACATAACAGGCACGAGATTGACTCAACAGGCACGAGATTGACTCAACAGGCACGAGACTGACTCAACAGGCACGAGATTGACTCAACAGGCACGAGATCCTAGAGTTAATTATTTTTAACAGAAAAATCAAATTTATTTGAATTTTAAATTCAAAATTCGAATAAATAGTCATGTCTGTTTGTGAAACAAGACATCTTTTCTGAAAGGGTCTGTTGGTTGCCTATAAATACACAAGAATTCCAACGAAGTGGATATAGAAAATCACAAGTGTTATTGCAGGCTTTGTTGTATCCTGAAGAGAATCGTTTTGTATTTTCCCTAAATTAGTATACAGGCGATAACTCTTTAAGGACAGTCGATTTTCACGCCTCAAAGCCAGTTTTGATTATTATTTTTCTAACAATCTTAAAGAGTTATTCTGCTATGGAGAAATTGATGTCTGTTGTTGAGAATCCGAAGGAGTTCATCAAACTTGATCGCTTTGATGGAACGAACTTTACCCGTTGGAGAGACAAGATGATATTCTTGTTGTCCGCTCTCAATATCTACTATGTTCTTGATTCTGCCTTGCCTCTGATGCCTGAGCCCACAGCAGAAGATTCTGACGTAGTCAAGGAAGAAAGGAAGAAACGAGAACATGATGAACTGTTGTGTCGCGGCCATATTCTGAATACTTTGACAGATCGACTCTATGATCTTTACTGCAATCTGAAGTCGCCAAGAGAGATTTGGACTGCTCTACAAACTGCATACCAGAATGAAAAACGAGGTATTGACAAATTCCTGGCTCTGCAGTACTTTGAAATTAAAATATTTGATACTAGGCCTATAATGGATCAGATTCATGAACTGCAAATCTTATTATCAAAACTAAGTGATCTTGAAGTTAAAATTCCTGATGCACTTCAAATAGGTGCTATTCTTT